CAAAGACAATGGGCCAAATGGCTGTAATATTCCATGACTCTACACTGTGATTCTAAGTTATTTCCATTAATAGGGAAGTCAGCAACTAGGGGACATAGTTATGATAGCCACAAGAATGCCATAAGAAAGCCACAAGTGGAGTCCTGTAACTTGTTGGTTAGAGCACTCGCCTCGCAAGTGAGAGACCTTGGTTTGATTCCCGGCCGGGCGAAATGTTGGGCAAGTTTCCTTACTCCACACGCCTAATAATAATCCCTCCAAAACCAAAACCAATAATAAATTGGTCATTTTCAATCTACGACTGTTTGTGGGACATTGCTGTGCGCAATTGGCTGCTGCGTTCGCCCACAAATATACAGTCAATTCACTTTACAGTGTGTTCTGTGAAGCGCTTTGGGATGTCCTCCTGATGTGAAAAGCGCTATATCAAATGCAAGGATTATTATTATTATTATTATTACCTAGCAGTAAGCAGCAACCTGGTTGTTTGCTGATTGGTGGATCGTTTTTCTGGGGATATTAGTTCTTTCAAAAAAATACTAACAGTAAATTAGTCACTTCAATCCACAACTGTTTATGGGGCACTGCTGTGCGCACTTAGCTTCTGTGTTTCGCCCACAAAATATACAGTCAATTCACTTTACAGTATATTCTGTTAAGCGCTTTGATACGTTGAGAAGACGTGATAAGGCCTATATCAAATGCAAGGATTATTATTATTATTATTAAGAATAGTTTAAGGAGAACTTAGAAGCATTTTTTTCACTCAGAGAGTAATTGCGATGTGGATGGAGTCCATTGTAGCTTGCAAGAGGGAAGATGACATGCATATGAAAGAGAAGGGTATAAGAATAGGCAGGGTGGTGGGATCAAAGCAATTTCCTTGTTCTGTGAGCTAATGCAGATTTGATGGGCTGAATCACTGTAGATTTCATTGTTTCTATGATTCATTGCTGGTTGCAATCCCTCTCTTCTTTCATTGAATCTTTTACCTTTTTTTACCTTCTTTCATTGAATCTTTTAGCCTTTTACCAACTTATGTCCAATACTCTCCAGAATTAGATAAGCAGGGTGTGTCCCTCCAGGGAAAGTATGCATTCCATTGCAAACACGGGAAAATTTCTTAAGTGTAGGTGGCCTAAATATGTGGAATTCTTAGCTTGATATGTATGCTCCTAATGATGGTGATGAGTTTTCACACTCGGCTAACCAAAGCAATATCACAAGAATGTTATCACTTGACCTCTAAAGAATTAAGTGTGCTTATGAATCAATGTGCTAATAATAATAATCCTTGTATTTGATAAAATGTTTTTCATATCAGGAGGACATCTCAAAGCAAGTCACAGGATGCACTGTGACTGTATTATGTAGGTGAAATGTACACAATGCTCAGTAAGTATCCATCCTTTGCCAGAATGTGTTGATATTTCTCATGCCTATAGTAAATACAGTATAACACACAGTTTATTACAGTAAAACATGAATACATGTGTCAGTCAATGCTATAAATTGATCCCAAAAGATTTCATGCAAAACTAATACCTTAACCACTATGCCCCATCAACAGACAGGCACAATTATCTTATTGAGGACAAAGCATTCCTCCCATAGCATTATTTCTGTACATATTTTTGTATTAACTGATTGAAATCCATCATGCATGCACTGTATTTAACAAGAAAGTTGCACTGTCATTTTCTATTCCCCTGAAATCATCCCTGGAATTGCTCAAACATCAAGTAATTCCAATTAAATGTTTTATAGCTGAAACTGACGACAGTAACCTCAATAGTCCTTGAAGCCAAATTCAGCTAACTGATTGCTTATTAACTTTCTTTTGTCATATCAAATTTCATTAAATGTTAAACAACCAGAATCTCTGTTGAAGTGCTGTAATGAGAAACTAATTCTGTTAATTCACATCGCTTTCTATTGACCAACACGGAAACAATTTACATGAATTGTGATTTCACAAGATACACACATGTAGAGCATCCTAATCCATAAACCATTCTAAGTTTCCTTCCATAGATATGTATTGTACAATGCATTTGAGCATCAACCCAACTCACCTTCAGTAAAATTTATCTTTGTGGGAAAATGTTTTAAAGGTACCACTTTTGAATGATTTATTTGTTTATATACATGAATATACATGTTTGTTATGAAATTATTATTTTTTTTGCAGGAGTTTATGCAGCAGGAGATTTTTTCATTTTTTTCATTCATTTTCTCCCTAATAAACTCTCAGGATATGAACCATAAACTCTACCAACCTAAGAGAATAGATTGACAATGATAGATTGTATGTTTATGTCTGTGGCAGAGACAGGCAGATTTGATGTGTCAGATTGTCTTTTCTTGTTCCATGCTTTCTTATATTATTTTATGAGATGATTTTACCCCCCCTCTCAAATTCTATTCTGTAGTCACTCAGTGAAAAATGCTAATTTCCATTCACAAAATAAAGCTCCTGACAATTTTTCCACCTTGTACGCTGAGATCGTCACCTAAATTATAAACACACCACTGCATACTAATGCACCTAACCAAAATTAGCAATTCATCAACTGAGCAAAACGAGTGCATGAATGTAAACCAAGGTTGGAGGTTGAAGCTGGGACTTCAATTCCACAACACAATGCATTAGTATACTGCATTATTGAATCACCTATGACTTTTTAAATGCAGCTAAGAGAGGAAAGTGTAATTCTTGTGTATTTCCCTCAACAAAGCCTTTACACATACAGACTTGAGACTTGACTATGCCAGATCTGCCCAATGCAAGCTCGAAACTACCCTGAACTCTGCAGCTCAAATCTTCTCCCATACTAGACTCTGCAAGCCTATCAACCCCATCTTCGCTGGGCTCCATTTGTTCCCCATCACCCGGGGCTTGAGCTGGTGGTCAGGCTGGTGCTCATTGAGGCTAGCAAGCGGCTAGGTTGGTAATGTTGAAAGAGGTTGCAGAGGTAAGGTGGGGGGAGACCATGGAGAGATTTAAAGATGAGAACAAGGATCTTGATTGAAGATGTAAAGATGCAAGACAAATTGATTCTTTTAACAAATATTTCAAAGGTTTTAATGTAGCTTGTTTGTAACTATTACAAACGCAGCAATATATTAAGAATATTAAGCAACTAAATGCATTGGATGAAACTGCTGGAGTTTCTGCTTGATTATCATTGAAAAGAAAGAACAGCTTTTATCTCATGGGTCAGAGAGTATTATCAATTTTCTCTGTATTTCACTTCCCCAAGGACTTGAAATAAACTATTGGCTGTAAAATGGGACTGAAAGGATTGCTCTTTAAAAGAGCCGACACAGACATGGTGAGCCAAATAGCCTTCTTCTGTGCTATGAATTTCTGAATGGTTCAAAGGTAAAGAATTCTATTCCCCTAAGTCTCTGGAAAAATATATGTCAACGTAAAAGACAGTATGATGAATCTTGATTTAAATGCAGGAAGGAGTAAGAGTGGCTGAATGGGGTGTTGTATATGGAGTTTGAGAAGAAGAGGGGAACATATTACAGTGCATGATCATATTATTGTAAATAAAATGGAGAAAGAGTTGGTTCCCATGGAGAGAAATGTTAAGGCTAAGTTTAATATGTGTTTAAAGTCCTTTACATATGCTACATGATCACCTAACAATTTTGAAAAGATATAACTCATAATCCTCTGTTATTAAAAGACAATCAATATGAAAGATTTCTAATAGTTTTATAAATTGCAGCAGAAAATGACTGAAGTGTGTCCAAGTATATCCCTTACAGAGATTAACATATTAAATAAGATTTCAAATAGTCCTTAATAACACTATTTAGTGCTAAGTGATGGAAAATAGTACCTTGGATTATTTGATGCTATCCCATCCTTAATTATTGCTTCAATTGTCTATTATCTATTCTGGTAAGGTAATCCTTTCTGCCTGTGATTGTCACAGTTTCAACTGTAAATTAGAGATAAGTATTTTACAACTATCCAAGAAGGTCATATTTGTTGCACAGAAAGGGATCTAACTTGTGGGCTGGGTTAACAACCCCAAATGCAAAATGTACAGGTTGGGTAACCATGTATAGCTATGAACATAACTAATTTTGTAATTATGTCTGACCCAGGCCCTGTGAAGTACTCCGGATGCTATTTTTAACCCTTTTCCGCAGCCTCATTTTTTCCATATTGCATTTTGTATTTTTATTAGTTTTTCCAAATCCCAAGTACCTCCTTGAGGCCAACCTTCCAATTGCTTGCTTGCCTGCCCAGATAGTAATCTGAATTTAGTCTCGTATTCAGGATATATGTGCACATAATTTGGACCGGATCCTTTGGGCTACTTGCTTTGTCAAGTACCCATTTTTTTTTCTTTCCGAATTACACTAAACCACAATTTATAACACCCGACACAACAAATAACAAAACACAAAATCAATACCATAAAACGTCACTCATTACCCAATCAAATTTTTGAATCGTTCAAAACTACAAATATCACTACGAATTGGTAATGGATTAGTTTGTCTAGCGATTACCAAATTCTCCCTTGTTTTCGAGCTACTAGTCATTCAAAACTACCATATCACGAACGTGTAATGGATTAGTTTGTCTACCGACGAACTCGTATTCTCCCCGTGTTTTCGAGCTACAGATCGTTCAAAACTACCATACCGCTGTGTAACGGAGTAGTTTGTTTACCGATGAACTCATATTACACGTCGTGCTTCACTGCACGTCGGGGAATCCTGTGCCCAAAACAACAATCAGCTAAGACGAATGCGTCAATTGTTTAGTGATTGGTTTGAGTTACACAGTTTTTAGAAAAACAAATTTATAATTTTTTTAACGTTTCCCCAAATATATTTTTCACTTCCAACGGATGTATGTTAACGGTTTTTTTACTGGGTCTCGTCAACAGTTATTTAGGTTCGATAGTCGTGGGTTACATTTGTTAAAGACAACATGTGAGAAACCAAGGTTTTACAGATAATTATCTCACCTTGTTGGCCTGTTTCTCGGATGCTGTTCTCGACAACTGCTTGACCTCTTATTCGACTCCTCGTTCCTTGATGTAACGTCTTGAGACCCTGCTCGCAGCGCCAAATGTAGAATTGTAACTTTTTCCCCGTTCGTCCCAACCGTTGTCTTACAAGCAGACCATACACCGTGGATATATCCAATGTTGAGATTTAATGTTGAGATTTAATTGCAATTAAAAGAGCTGATTCAAGAACAGTCAACAGTCTCCCAAGTAGAGCACCTGACAGTCCAAAAGAATGAGCTGCTTTTGGTCAGTTAAAGCAGCCTTTTTATCCCCAAAAGTGCTCAAGGTCATAAAGCATACAAAGGCAATTAAAAAAACATTATCAATCGTGTGGTTCCAACAACTATTCGAATGGTGACGTCAATCAATCTATATCTCTAAACAAGGTTAAATGTCATCTACTTAATTAGGATCTATTCGTGTTGATTATTATTCTTTAAAAAATCAATCAAATATATTTGGCATAGAATATGTACCTGATTAATACCGTTGCTTAAAGTATACAAGATACAATCTAACAAGAATACAACCTTTAAATTTATAACACAGAGTAAGAAATAATGAGGGAAGGGAGTTCACGTTAGGGGAGGATTCAGGAACGTTAGAGGCATAAACTTATCTCCAGATGGTGTTTGTGTCAGACAATGTCTTATTCATTTCAAAGTTACAGAAGTTACTGCTCTCTGCTTCCATGGAATGTCCAGCCAGATAAAGATGTAGCTGGCATTGCCAAGTCTGAGTTTTCCCAGGACTTGTTTTTTTTAATGTTTCAGCTAATGTTTGATTTAAAAAGGCATACAATTATTTCTAGGTATGAAAGATTTTTCTACAATTTCACTACAATTTCACACTATCACATTTACAACTGTGCTATATACTTGCAAGTTGTTGTAATTGAGGACCAATGTAAATAATTGCAATATCTATCATTTTCATTGGTTCTTAATTATATGCATCTGGAATTCCCTCTGTACACATCAGTTTGGACATGATTAACCCAACATACAAATTGTGTACATGGATTATGTGAGAAAGGGTAAATGTTTATGACATTCAACAGAATTATCAGTGTGTGTTAGCAACATGAAAGAGCTCCTGTCAGCAGGTGGAGAGAGTTGATAAGATACAAATTTAAAAAAACATCCAGTTCCCATGTTGAGTTCCACAGGGTTGGAGCATTCTCCCTCAAACCAATTCAGGTGGCTTATTTTTACAAAACAAATGCCACTCAAGCAGCAGAATTCACAGGTATAACCAAGAGCAAGTAGAATTTATTTTTATCATGAGCACCATTTCACACAATGAAAATCCTTAGCAAAGAAAATTCTTTATCATATTAATAATAATCCTTGCATTTGATATAGTGTTCACATCTTCTAGGTGTCTCAAAGAGCTTCACAGAAATACTGTAAAGTGAATTAACTGTATATTTCTGGGCAAAACGCAGCAGCCAATTGCGCACAGCAGTGTTCCACAAACAGTCGTGGATTGAATGACCAATTTATTATTTTTTTTGTTGGTTATTTTTCTCAAGGGATTATTATCAGACTTGTGGAGTAAGGAAACTTGCCCAAGGTTTCGCCCTGCCTGGAATCGAACCCAGGTCTCTCGCTTGTGAGGCAAGTGCTCTAACCACTGAGCTACAGGATTCCAATGCTTTATCATCACACAAAGAACTAAACCATGTCACTCATATACCCTGTGGTAGTCAGTCATTTCTGTCTCTAATTACTTTGTGGAAATGTAATAAGATTTTCCTTCTATGGTATTATTGTACATAATTTCATATATATGTGTATAATTTCATATACACATATATGTGTAACCCTGAAGGGCTTACCATAACATCATACAAAAGGTCTTCAATACACATAAAAGAGCTCCCCGATACTTTACTACATTTATTAATGAATGGTGAAAAGAGTTGTAGCGAATAAAATTTGTTTTCCATGGAAAAAAAAGACGCTGGGGAGAGAACAATTTAGTCGTCAATGAAAGTGACTGGATGTGAAGAAGTGGTCAAGAAAGAGACCTGGGATGATTTTAACCTAAGATAACCTCAAAGCTGAATACTGTATATATAGGTCCAGCTGCAGACCTAGTAATGATCTGGGAGAGCCAGTTGGGCTGAGAGGCTCTTTCCCTTTTCTACCATATTATGTCTTAATGAGTTAAAACAACAACAATACAAAATTAAAAGATTGGGTTACATTTTTATTCTGGTTCCATGTCACAAATACGCTGCTTTGCTACAATAGAATGGAGGCGGGTGGATTGATTTGCACCATCAAGGATATTTCCTTGAAAAATATTTCCTTGAAAAATATCAAGGATATTTTTTCTCCCAGTTAAGAATAATATTTCACATTTGCAGAAGGGTCAGACTTAAAAATATACAGGACCAAAAAAAAAGACCATTGGGGTCAGTTCCAAGTTCTGAAAAAATAAGTAAATAGTCCTACACTGTAAGACTTTATCATACAAGCTTCTCGTGAATTCTTTGCCAAATAGACATGAGATCATTGATCAATAACTCTGTTTATTTGAGGGACTGTTGGCCAGGATCTGGGAGAAAATCCCTCCTATTTTTGAATAGTGTCAACAGATCTTTGAAGTGTGCTTGAACTTGTAGATAGGACTTTAGTTTAACTTCTCATCTGAAAGATGGCACCTCCGACAATGCAGCATTTTCCCTATAGCTGTAGTTTAGGCTATAAGTTCAAGTCACGATGTGAGGTTTGAAGGCACAACCTTCTGACCCAAAGGCAAGAGTGTTATCAATTGAGATAAGGATTCTTATATACGTTAAGAATCCATTGTCAGCCTGGCTCAGTTGGTAGTATCTTGCCTCAGAGTCATAAAGTTTGTGGGTTCGCGCCCTAGGCGGGAGTTTGAACTCATATAGTCTAACGTTAATACAGGTTAATACAGTGTAGTGCTGAGGGTGTGTTACATTGTTTGCAGGTACTCTATTCCATGCCAGTAGCCTGCATCGGAAGATTGAAAGAAAAGAAGAAACACTATAATCAATCGCTCAGTGACACTTGCACACAAGGCCTTGGAGATTTATAGATCATACAAATAAGTGACAAATACAGATTTATTCATCATTTAAAAACACAAAAATAAAGCCTCTGAGAAAACAGAAAATAGTTATGGAGCAAATCCATCTTTCTAAACTACAAAGAAAGATATTCAGGCACATCCATTAAAGCTGTCACATATATACTATTCAGGGAATGTTACGCACAGCACCTCACAGCCTACAAATACTTAGTCTAATTTGTGGTGTTTTTTAACGGGTAAGAAGTCTGACATCATATCTCTAAAGGTTCATGTGACCTGACAAAGCATTCTTTCCTAGAGTCAATGGTTTAGAAATTCAATACCGTAATTAAAATCATCCAGAAAACACACAGTCACATCACTTTACAGTATAGCTGTCAACAACTTTGAGACATCTCGATGCAAAAATTATTTATTATAATTATAAATTTCTTACTGAGAAATATGTTAAGAATCCATTGTTAGCCTGACTCAGTTGGTAGTATCGTGCCTCAGTCATAAAGTTTGTGGGTTCACGCCCTAGGTCGGGAGTTTGAACTCATATAGTCTAAGGTTAATACAGGTTAATACAATGTAGTGCTGAGGGTGTGATACATTGTTTATAGATACTGTCCTTCAGATGAGAAGTTAAATCAAGGTCCTATCTGATGTTCAGGTGAACATTAAAGATCCTATGGCACTGTTCAAAAAAGAGAAGGGAGTTCTCCATGTGCCATGGTCAATGTTCCCCCAGATAAACATGGCCATTCACTTCCTGCCTGTGTGTTGGACATTGCTGTGCACAAATTGGCTGCCACATTAATAATAAACAAAATCCTTGCATTTGATACAGCACCTTATCACGTCTTCAGGATATCTCAAAGTGCTTCACAGAATATACTACAAAGTGAATTGACTGTGTATTTTGGGGTCAAAACGCAGAAGCCAATTGCGGACAGCAGCGTCCCACAAACAATCGTGGATTCTGTGACCAAATTATGATTATTATTATTTTTTAATTCTTAAGGAATTATTACCCCGAAAAGTGATCCGACAATTGACTAACAGCCAGGTTCCTACTTACTGCTAGGTAAACAGAGGCAAGTAAGAAAATTTGCCTAACATTTCGCCCTACCCAGGAATCGAACACAGGTCCTCTCATTTGCGAGGCAAGTGCTCTAACCACTACCCTACAGGACTCCACATTATAACAACAACTTGTATTTATGAGGTATATAACATTCTTCCTGTAGGATATCGTCTTGCAGCACTGAAATATCTTGAGTTTTTTGGGGGTCAGCCAGGTATTTGACACTTGCGAAAACCTATCGCTATGCTTAAGATGTTTGTCACCATCTTCCTGTCCACACCTCGGGCACACAAGTGTGTTCAGAAACTTGGACACCAAGTAACACTTCCTAGCAGCTTTCCTTATCAGCTATTTGGCAGGTATCTGGCTTCATCGTGGTGAGAGGACCTTTATAGGACAGATTGTGACGTACAATCCTCCTTGATGTTCTCGAGTTCCAAGTCCAATGCCGTGTACCAGGCACCAGCTGCTTGATCCAGGTCCTCATGTGAGGGGCCTTGGCAAATAGACATGCCTGCTGTGCAGCTGACTTTGCCTCCGAAGTGCTTAGGAACAGGTCAGTGTCAGCCAGAGCCCTCCCTGTAGCCGCTTCCCGTGTTTGCCATAAATCCACCTCATTACTTGATCCTGGACTTGCAAATGGGCCTGAGGGGATGTAGGATCCATAAAGGAGGAATAAAAATACAGTCACTACACTTTACAGTATAATCCATGAAGTGTTTTAAGATGACATGAGTGCACTACATCAAATATTATTACAGTATTTTTATTATTACTATTACTACTACATTGCTGGAGGTGATGGCCTTTGAATGAATTGTTAAACTGAAGTCCCATTTATCTATTCAGATAGATATTAACGATCCCCTGTCACTGTTCAAAAAGAGAAGAGTATCCCTCTTAGTGTCTTAGCCAACTTTAAAAAATGGTCATTTGTTTTATAGCTTTTTATACAAATACACTTTAGAGAGAAAAAAACCTTTGTGAAGCACTTTGAGATGTTCAGACTTGATAAGACACTAAATCCAATGCAAAGTTGATTTATTTAAAAACACCATAAATTATACCACACTGGGTTTGTTATAGATATTGAAGACTTCTTTGGCATTGCTAGACTGGACTGTTCTCATTCCAGTGTATAGTTGAAAATGAAATACTGTAGCATTTCCATAAAATGTGCCTGACCTTTTCAAAATATTTATGTCCAATTTCAAGAAGAATTTTCATCTACCACAGGAATTATTCCTCAGAAGATTTATGTTGCCTT